TGAAACATGGAACTTAAAGCTGCCAGTTATCTAAAGCCTAAAGGAGAGCCTTGAAGGGCAAACAAATGACAGAAGACAGAAGCTAGGATCTGTGGTGAAGCTGGCTTTAGGGGGCTCACTCCAACTGCACAGTGAGGAAGTTAACTGAATATTCCAAATATCAGATTATCTACTTATACATGTTACTCTAGATGGTCAACCTGATGGAATTTGGAATCACTTAGGAGACACACATCTAGACACATCTGTGAGGGTGTTTCCAGAGAAAATTACTGAGGAAAGACCATCCACCCACCCTCAACTGGTGGTCCATATGCAAAGAAGTCCAAAGAAGACAGCATTACTTGCCTGCGGTTGCTTCTTTCTGTGTGCATGGAATGTTGCTTTGAATCTAGTTTTTTCAGTCCAATGAATAATAGACTCTCCAAAAATCATTCAGGTCAGCACCAGAATGTCACTGCTGAGGCATCCAGCTTTGTAGGCTGAGTAATTACTTTGTTCCCAGCCTCTCCAGAACATATACAGTCACTGTTGGACTACCTAGCCTGTACCATGAAAGGCAGTCCTGCTCATTGGGAGACTAGTTCTCTGTTCCATTAGATGGGAGCAGAGAGTTTTAGTCACCCTGAGGAGTGGTGTCTGGAAAATGACCAATAGACAAACTAGGGTGGGGGCTGGGAGAGGGTTGTCTCAAGCAATGTCAGAAGGGTAGGGGGCAATGCTGCATGCTCCTGATGGGCTCTTAGCCTACTCTATAGACTTCTATAGAAGCACACATAGAAGAAAGCCTCTTTCTGAACACAAGAGAAGGTGCCCCAAGGAGGTGAGTATTGAATTGAGTCTAAAAGTAAATGAACCTTAGTATGTAGTACTGGTTATGGAAACAGATGTTTTGGGTTAAATCCCAGGTCTACCACTTATTAGCTGTGTGCCTTGATTTTCTGTAAAATGATACCAATCATAACCTTAATTTAGCTTCAAGATTATAAACAGTAATGCTGCCTGTGCTCCCAAGTGATGCCTTGTCATTATTTCATAAGGCCATTTGGCCTGTTACTCTGAGAGTTCTGTAGAACCACCAAGTCTGCAGGCTTTCCAACTAGTAGTTCCAATCAGAACCTCACCTAGAGCTCCTTGCTCTGTGGTTGGTGGCTATTCTGTGCAGAGTCCTAAGCCGTCTCTTCCAACCCTGCCCAAAGCAGAGGGCCAACCAGAAATCACCTGAGACTCTCCAGGTCCAAAAGGAGGAGCCAGCAGGGGCAGGAGAGGAAGAGGGAGGCTCCAAACCTCGCAGCAGTTAACATTAGCACACGTGTGGGCATAGGAAGTGGAGCCCAGGGAGTTTTTCAGTCATCTCCTGCTTAATGCATCCAGATGCATCCATAATTAGCCCTTGCCTCAGGCCTCCAGGCCCAGGTGGGCTCCAGAAGGCCTGCACTGCCGCCAGACAAGAGGTCTTAAAGAACATCGGGCAGACAATTGGAATGCCATTTATCGTGCGAAACACAATAAAACCCTGAGCTCTCTTCCTGTCTCAGAGACCCATAAATTATGAAAATTATACCTGCCCCGGGCCATGGACATATTGTTTTATTAAAGTTGTGATGAATAAACTTCGGGTCTCTTAAAAATGTCCTCCCAGCTTTTATCTGGCAGCACCACCAGCGTGGGGCAGGCTGCCTGCGTCTTTTTGTTGGTTTACACTTTAGAAAGCTGGGCAAGTTATTGCTCAGGCTAGGAAGACAGGTGGAGAGCTGTGCACTGGGGTCACTGGACCAGAGGACAGGCTGTAGGGAATTCGTTCTAGTATTCCATCACAGATGCTCCCAACAAGTCATGCTCTTTTACGGGGTTGGAAGGGTGCTAGAGATCAAACTCATGGCCTTGTACATGTTAGCCCTAGGCCAGCTCAGCCCATTCCTCCTTTTTGGAGCACTGTGTGGAGGATGTGTGCTTATAGACAGGACTGATCCAACTCTTTGCCCTGTACTTTTCACAGTTGATCACTAAACACAGTCTGCCTACTCTATCTTGTAGGTCTACAAATTCAACTACTGAACCTCCCTTCAGTTCATGTTGTTTAGACCCACAATCATATATTGCATGTGGCCATTTCCCCCAACTTCTGTTTCTGCACCTCTGAGAGGGAAATAACTGGTATTTTGCTGCCAAATATTATCTGAGTATCAGGTAAATAAGTCATGCAGCAAATGCTAATGATTAAGGTCATTTCAAAGCCACGATATAACTGGGAACCAAGATGTACATGTCCAGATGGATAAAGGGGAACACTCGTGAACTTTCCTCTGAAAAGTCTCCTAGCTCCCAGGTTCCCCTAAGAACATTTGGGTGAGTGGGACTTTAAGCATGCAACCTCTGTAGAGTTTTTGTGGCTTTTAATGTCTAAAACCCCAGAGTGAGAATAAAACAAACAAATCAGGAGTGGCCTACCCAGTCAAAAAGTGATAGATACTAACTAGGAAGAAGCCAGTTAATGTCAGTTGTTTAACTTGCTGGCAACTTAAAAGCACTAAGCAGCCTCCATCATCCTGCAGGGATGGTACAAATCACATGGCCAGGAAATAGGGAAGCTTGAGACTATCTTTTATTCTAAAGTTCTACTGCAGACAGAACCACACTAAAGAACATCCTTTGTATCTTCTTGGGCAGTGACCAGGGGATCCTTGGCATGTATTTGGATGTCTCCAAGAGGAACAGGGTTGGATTTCACAAAGGAGCACAAGATGCCATCACTAGTGACTAAAAATAGGGGTGTCGAATCATTAATTGCTTTCAGAAAACAGCATGAAGCCCCTTTCATTGATATATGAATAAAAGATAATAAAAATGCTCCCATGGATTAGTATAAACTAAATGGCTGCATCTAAGTTGACAGAATGGGTAAGGATGGGGCAGGGGCAAAGGAGGTACAGAGAGGCAGGAGGACAAATACATGCCATTCAGCAGACAGGTCTTAGAGGTCAGAAGAACTAGTTTGAGATGACAGTCAGTGCAGCAAAAACAAGGAACGTCCTGCTTGGCTTCTTGAACCTGTAGATTTGTAGGCACCGGGACCTAGGAGAAGCTGTAGAAGGTGGGGATCTGCTCTTCCCCACCTCTAGCTCTTCCTAGTGGCAAAGCTTTCTTGCCACTTATCTATACTACCAACACAACCAGTGGCCCAGCATGGTGGTGCACACTTTTAATGCCAGCACCTGAAAGTCTGTGCTACATTTCAAAAAAGTACAACAAAACCCAAAGATCCAGTGTAGGGGACAGCTGATCCAGGAAAGGCTTTGTACCACCTGGCAGCAGTCAGCTTCATCATTAAATGCAGTGTTCTTCCAGTCATCCTAGAGGCAGGACAAGGGTCCCTCCCAATCCCAGAGCATCCACTGTATATATGTGCAAGTTAGCCCAAGTGGCCTAGAGTTCTTTGACCAGCCTGGGACATTGCTGGGTGAGGATGTCAGGAAACAACAAACACATGAGAGAACAGTAGTCTTGTGTATATTTAACAATATATATTTATAGATATTTTCTAGATCAGTACATTCAGTTTTTAACTTGTTTTTTTCTTCACAAACAGAAGAACTCTTACAATAGTAGACTTTCTAAAATAAATACTATTAAAATAGAGCTTCAAAATAAATATTTTATACAAAGGAAACCTTCTGTGGTAACTTTTGTGGTGGGGTGAGAAGGGGCTACAGCAAAGGGAAAAATGCAACAGGAATATGGCAGAATGGGCACTGAGCACAGCTTTACTGTTGGTAACACACAACTGAGGGACAGCAAGAGAAAGCAAGTTAAGACATGGCAGTTACTCACAGCAGAAGATGGAAATGCAGGATGACATCCACCATCACTGGAATCAGAGAAGATATGGAACTGCTCACCAGAGGTATAAACCAGGAGGCTGGTGAAGCTGTGGATGCCCTGGTGGATTGTACAGTGCAAAGTTGAGATGCCCACACACCAAACACTTCCTGGAGCAGCACTGGATGAGACCGGGCTGCTTTAGAGTGGGGCACCCAGGTTCTAGTCCAGACCAACTTTGCACCTGTGAACTCTTGGGGTTGTGATCCAGCTGGATCCCACCAATGCAGACTGCAAAAGTTCAAAGAACCCACCACATGACAAGGACACTTCCCATCCCCCCATATCAGCTGTGAAGAGCCCAAGACAACAAACAGCAAGGGCTGGTCTTTGCTCCCTTCCAGCTGGCTTTGAGGAGCCTTGGAAGGCTTTGTTAGCTTGGACACAGACCCCAATGTACTCATAGGAGTGCTGGTCTTCACAAAGCCACCCCCCTCCCAGAATGGGGAAGCAAGCAGTCAAGGGTATACCCTAGGAAGTGTCCTGGATGCCACCCTCAGCCCCAAGCACAACTGCCACCCACCCCAGGTCTAGAAATGGGAGCCAGATGGCATTTCTGAAGATGAGGTGTAACCCAGTCAAGCAAGCTGCTAATGATAGCAAACAACGAGTCAGAAGAAGCTACAGAAACGTATCATGTTTCTGAGAGGCTGGACTCTCAGTGCCTCTTGACTGGCCTGGGAAGGGGTGGGGACCCTAAAGGAAAACCACCATTTGTGTGTATGTTTTTCTTTCTTTCTTCTGTGTGTGTGTGTGTGTTTGCCAAGGAGTCAGAGAAAAAGAACAGAGCTGACAAATCCAAGGATGCGTCCTTTACTCCTTCCCTTTACCACTGAGCACATGGAACCCAGAGTAAACTGCTGGGGGAGTTCTGTAGACATCCATCTAGCAAATTAAACGCAAGCCAAAAGAAGGAGGGGGTAAAAAGAAAAAAGCAAACCAAAACCCACAAAAATCCGTGTTTACAGCTATATACACAAAGTCAGGGTTCAGGAGGGGCTGCAGGAAACAGGGTTTGTGTTGGTAGAGGGTCAGTGTGTATGTGTTAAGTGTCATATGTGCATGTGTGCATACACAGCTTATGTAAATCAATTTGCCACAGAACCGGTATGTAGAACAAGATCACCAAAGTGCAACCTGCCACTGGGTCGTTTCCTGTGGAGATGACTTGAGGGAGGGGGCCCTGGGCAAAGTTCCCAGGCTTTTCAGAAAAGAGTGCACATGTGCGCTACCATTTTGGGGGTTCACTTCCGCATACTTCAGCTGAGGAAACCATCTCCAGCCCCTTCAGTATACTTCCAATACATTCAATTAGTATAAGTGGTTGGCTGAATGTGTTTTGTCTTCTATCATTCCCTCCGATTTGTGCAAGAACATCCATATAATATCCATCGCAACTGTAGCAAGGGCAGCTATGTGGATTAGCCTTAGAGAATGAAGATGCAATATTTATACTTGCCTTTTACAAGCCAGCAAATGTTACATAAATAAAGCCGAAAATAAGACCCTCCCTTCCTCCATCAATAAATACCTATGGTTACAATTAACTTATTATCCTAAATCATAAGGTGTTACTACTCGTTTCCAAGAAGGGGGTGGGTGGGGAGGGAGGAGTCCTTGAGAAGCATTAGGTCCACGCCACTCGTAGCTACTTGCCTACTTACCTTTTTCCTGGGAGCAGCCATTTCCGCAGAATGAGCTAGAAATGCTACAGAGACTTTGCCTAATGCTCTCCCAAAATGTCACCTGGGGCACCTGACCCAGGCCATTTCTCTCATCAGAGGCAGGGGCAGGGACAAATACCACACAAAGCAAAAACCCCACACAACAGCTGGGGGCAAGGACCAGACACACTATAGCTTTTGCATGCAACAAGTACCTACCCATTGGACGTGCTGCACTTTCTGAGTCCTTTAGCACCTTGAGAGAAAGAGTTGCTACGTCTTTGGGGGCTGTCGGGAGGAGGTGTGCTGTGCACAAAAGTGGGGCTCAAACCCAGCAGACCCTGGAGAATTATTCCCCACCCTCTCTGGGCTCTTCTGACTCTCCCACTGGGGCCTCCTAACACTAAAATAGACTCTGTTCATCATCTCTCTATTTACATAAAGATACAGACACATCATTATACACAAAACGCTGTGACAGCAAGCAGCAGAATCAGAAGAGAGGAAACCCAACCCCAGCTCGGCTCAACTGTCATTCTGCCAATGGGAAGCAAGGCTTCTTCTTCGCCATTAAAATCCTCTTCTTGGTGGGCAGGGGAATTGTGCTCTCCTTGAGGATGCTTGCCCCCAGATTTTGAAATCAGCCCTTCTTGGGGGTGGCCCAAAAGGAAGCAAGTTGTTTTATTATTATGGTTTAAAACACCGTTAGCATCTGGTTTAATTATTCTATAAAAACATCATGACTGGATCTAGAGACCACAGCCTCAGACTCATTGGCAAAATGATATTTGGTCTCGCATGTGCCACCCTGGCCTTCTTTACCCAACAAGTTTCTCCAAAGAATCTGAGTACAGAGAGCTCAGGACACATAGCAGGCAGGCGAGTCTGTGACTTGGTAAGAACCAGAGGATGGTGTGATGAGTGGGACATCCCCAAGTTAGTGATTGAGGCTGGGGCAAATGGACTGTGCCAAGGCTCCTTAATCCATTCTGTGGCTCCAGGGAGGCTTCAGCTCCGCAGCTGTCCTGTTCTGTTCCTCCAAAGTATATACAGGGATCGCTAAGGTGCTTGGCACCTTCCCGAGGCCAAGGCCAACATGCAGGAGGACGGAGAAGGTAGAGAAGTCAAGGTTCTGCCGGTTTTCCTCAGTGTATCCTGCCTCCATCAGGCAGGTGCTCCTGCAGGAGCCAGAGACAATGGAGATGTGGGAGGGAGAGGGTAGGAGGTAGGGGGGCTGGGAAGGGCATTGAGCAGCTGCAACTTCCGGATTGTGTCCACATCTGTGTTCAGTCTTCTGAAATAGAAAAATTCCTGCCAGACCACACCCTGCTGCTGCCTGCTTGACAAAAGTTCCAAGACCATGAAAACCCCCAAAGTGCTTCTTCATCCTTTTGGGAATAGAGGCTGTGGGTGGTGGTGGTCTCTGCCTATTTCTTCCCAATCTAGGGGCGGGGAGAAGCCAGATGAGCAAGGTCAGCCTCAGAAGACTGGCAGGAGGGACATTTCCAAGGGCAGTGCTATGCTTCCACCCAAAGCGTCAGAAAGGCTTGTCAGATCTGCTGGCCTTGCTATCGCCACTGGCTGCCTTGCAGATGACGCTGTTCGTGTGCTTGCAGCGGCAACCAGGGCGTCTCAGGCGGTCGTAGCCACGTTGAGCCAGCTTGACACAGCCTGTGGCCGGCAGGTAGCACAGCAGGCAGGGCAGCACCACGGAGAGGGCACCCATGAAGGACCAGCGGGCACAGCAGTTGGAGCGGGAGCAGGAGCAGGGGTGATCAGCGCAGGAGCCTTCATCGTCCTCGTTGGTGCAGTGGTAGAAGATCCCCTGCACCAGGCACATGCACGTGCCATAGTTGACCAAGGTCTGGGCAGAGCACAGGCACTCCTGGTTACAGACCCAGCAGGAGGGCAACGTCCGAGGGGACGCACATTCCTTGCATTTACACTTCCCACAGGCCTCACACAGCAAGAAGTGCTTATCTAGCTCTGGTGGGGCTGCCGGGCCCTTGAGGTCCAGTGGCTTACAGTGGACCACCTTGGGCTGAAGGCGTACAGCCCTGGGAGAGGCCTGCTCAGCCACAGGCGGTGGAGCCATGTGGTCTAGGAGCCGCTGGTCGGAGGAGGTGCTGCTGCTACTGCTCACAGAGCTGGGCCTACCACTGAAGGAGATCCAGTGGTGGGTGACATCCTGCTCACAGCGGGCAGGTGTTGGGGCCAACTCTGGGGCCCCACCCCGGGTCCGCTTGGGACCCATGGGAGGGGCCAGGCCAGGGTTGTCTATGTAGTCATTCTCCACATGGCTGGTCTTCATCTGGTCAATGGGTAAGATGGTGAGTGGATGCTGGAGCCGGCTGTGGGGCACCCGGCTGTCAAGGAGGGGCTGCACCATGACGGAGCTGGGAGTTAAAGGGACGCTCTGAGGGATCGGAGGCTCCATGAGGTTGGAGGTCCTTGGACTGTGCCGAGAAACAGGCTTCTAGGGGTCCTGGGGGAGGAGGAGGAAAAAGAGAATGGATTCCCAGCATTAATACATGGCCTGGTAATAGCCTCCTTGCCCCCTCTCCCATCAAGCCTTGGGATCCTAAATGAAATGGGAAATTCCCTCAATGAACTTTCTAGCCACTCCCAAGGTTTAATCAATAATGATTATACTAGTAAAAATAATATTTATCGAGCTAAGGTGAAGCTCAGTGGTTGAGGGCTTTCCTAGCATGCATCATGTCCTGTTTCTGGTCATCAGCACTACAGAAGAAAAAAAAAATCTGGGGGTTGGTGGTGGCACATGGCTATAATCCCAGCACCTGGAAGACTGAGGTATGAGGGACTGCTATAAATCTGAGACCAATCTGGGTTACAGAGTGAGACCTTGTCTCAAAAACAAAACACATAAGGCCTTTAACTTCACTTTTCAGAAGATTTATTATTAGCATGTATGTGATATGTGTGTATGAACTTTGTTGGATTGGTTCTCTCCTTCCACTTTTTTTTTTTTTTGGTCTTTTTGAGACAAGGTCTCCCCGTAGCCCCAGCTCTCCTGGAACTCACTATGTAGACCTGGCTGGCCTTGAATTCACAGAGATCCGCCTGCCTCTGCCTCCCAAGCGCTGGGATTAAAGGCGAGTGCCGCCACGCCCAGCTCTCCTTCCACTTTTATGTGAACTCAGTCAGGCTTGCCTAGCAAGCATCTCTATTGGCTGAGCCACCTCACTGCCCCAAATTTCTTTTACTTTTATATCCTAGGCCTTAGTTTTGATGATGTAAAAGGGGTTTGTTCTTACAAGGATTAAATGGGGGGGGGAGCCCGTCTGGTACCTAGCACACAGCCAGACACGTAGAAAGTATTAAACAGTTTATCACTACTTCAAAAGCTACTCTGAGCACTTGCAAGTCCCAGTTGCAGAAACTGTACCGGGTGCTGGGAATCATGTATGTGGTCAGTACAACAGTCCCTGTGTGCTCCCTTAGAGTTTATCTGCTAGATAAACAAAAGCCTTCATTTTGGATACTCAGAGGAAGTGCTGTATCTGATGCCTGCCCATCTAGGATATTAACTTATTAAGACCACTTCTAAGTACAGCAACCTCCAGCAGCTAATAACCCCTAGGTAGGTGAGCTCCTGACAACTTGCATGGGAAATCCTCTCCAGGGGCACTCACACCACCCATTTCCAAGTGCTGAGCTGAACATTCAGCCTAAATGCTATTTACTAGAATAGCTAAGCCAGCCCTGGATCAGTTTCTAATTTCACTGAGAGAGTGCAATTTTAAGTTGGCATCCGGCCAGAGATTCAACTGCAGTGCCTGACACGGAACCCCAGGAAGTCACTTAAATCAAAGAGCGGAAACGGCTTGGTTCAAATTTAGAAAGTGCACATTGTTTTCTATTAGAAGTGCCATTTCCTTACCTGCTGACCTTTACATTTGGAATTCGGATAGAGATCAATTTAAAGAAATAGAAGCAGAAGGCCAAGACCTCTGCTCAAGGAGGACACAATTTGGAATCCGAGGGAAAGATTAGACCCTGGGAAGATTCCACCAAGAACGCCAGGGGACTGGGGGAGGGAAGGGTGGAGAAGGGGAAGATGAGTCTTAAACAAAACAACACACTGGGATAGTGTGCTGTGGGTGGTGTTTCTGTAAATGCCTTTTCAAGATGTTAATGACAACTCCTGCCTCTCAACTCCCAAGTTTATCTTGCATCAAAAGATGGTGCCAAGAAGTTGTGAAGTAGAGTTTTCACTTTAGTTTATCCCATGTCTCCTCAATTCCAGGAGACTCTTAGTCCATTTCAGTATCACTGCTGAGTGACATCCGGTACCCCGAGACTCAAATTGTCTATGATTGACTGCAACTCACTGTCCTGTTTCCTCTGCTTGGAGATAACAGTTTGGTCACAAACAGTATTATAAGGAAGAGGAGCTTCCTTACTACTTCCAGACTAGATGAAATAAACAGCTAGCTCTAGATGCGAAGTTCATGGAGGGGACAAAAAGAGGGCTACCCACAGTGCTCATCTGTGCATCATCTATATTGCTAAATGCAAAGGAAAAAAAAGTGTTTTCTACAAGGTTCAATGTTCAGTCAACTGACAGTTCCCATTCATACAGGGCACCAACTATTGGCTCTGTTCCCAAAGCTCTATTTTAAAATCACTCGTATTTCTTTACACAGTTCTTGTCTATCTTGGATAAAGTCTACCTAGTGGCAGGCCCCCATAAGTTCTCCTCTAATGAAACCAAAGCATCACTTTTCTTTTTCTTGTCTTTTTGAGACAGCGTCTCCCTGTAGCCTCAGTTGGCCTAGAACTTGCTATGTATATGCAGACCAGGCTGACTTCAATCTCACAAAGATCCACCAGCCTCTGCCTCCCAAATGCTAGGAATTAAAGGCATGCACCACCATGACTTATTTAGTTATTTTTTTGGTGTTTTTGAGATAGGGTCTCCCTATAGCCCCAGCTGTCCTGGAACTCACTATATAGACCAGGCTGGCCTTGAACTCACCTGGATCCGCTTGCCTCTGCCTCTGTGCTGGGATTAAAGGCATGTGTCACCATACCCGGCTTACTCTTTATTTTTGACAAGAGACAATATGTAATAGTTCAGGCTGATCTTCAACTCATAGTAATCCTGCCTTAGCTTCCCAAATGCTGGGATTACAGGCAGGCATGAACCACCATACCCAGCAGTTCAGAGAATCACCTGAGTAGGAGACTCCTGTGACAGTTTGCCTTAAGTGCCTGGCAGGTCTGTTACCAAAGAGTGTTGCCAAGCCAAGATGGCCTCAGGTGGTGGTGGTGGTGGGGGGGGGTCCTGTGGTCAGGGATGGGTGGAAAGAATGTAAGAATATCCATGGAGGATACCTTTCCGGGGAGTACTACCTCTCAGTCCCTCCACTTACTTGTTCTGAGTAGGTTTCCCAAAGGTTTGCCACCAGAAAAACTAGGTTTGGGGCCAACTAATCAGTTAGAAATCCCAGATCTCAGTCTTGGGGACTTTCGCTGGAAGAATTGGAACTTGGCATAATAGAAAATGTCATGGGTAAGACTCTCTCTAAGGTGCCAGCCAAGAAGTGTCTTAGCCAGAAGCCTCCTCTTTGGACACCACAAAGACAACACGAGCCCCTTATTCCAAAACCCTAGGTTAGGAAAACTTGCCAACACAATGCCTGGGCAATTTTAAGTGAGTACATATTGGTTCACTTAGCTAGGGTTTTATCGCAAGACCAAGACTGGGACTGGCTGGTTCTGCTACAAGTATAGGTGGGTACTCCTGGTCATGAAAGCAGATTGATAACTCGTTCTGCTTTCCCAAGCAGATTAATGAGACTCTTTGAAGACAGCTACATTTCCTGTTGATGAAGCAAAAGGCATTGGCAACTTTCAGGGCTGTGGAACCAGTGGGCAGACTAAGTCATGAAAAAGTCAGTTTTGTTGTAGCAGCCAAGGCAGGTAGTTGGGGATATTGACATTTACAGGTTCCCATCACCGTCAAGAAGTAGCTGCTAACATCTAGGCTTATTTTTGAGGCTGACCTTGGGGGTTAGGAGCTTGGCCCCAAAGACTAGGCTCTCTCAGAACATGCAGCATTTGGTTCCAGCAGGCATGGCATTTGGTTTTTTTGTTTGTTTTGAGACAGGGTCTCACTCTGTAGTCCTGGCTGGCTTGGAACTCACTATGTAGATCTGGTTGGCCTTGAACTCACTGAGACCTACTTGCCTCTGTCTCTGGAATTAGAGTGCATCCAGCAAGTATGATTTGATTTTTTTTTTCTCCTGTTTTCGTTTGTGTGAGGCAAGGTCCCTCCTGTAGTCCCAGCTGGCCTGGAACTCACTATGTATACCAGCTGGCCTCATCTCATAGAGACTTACCTGCCTCAGCCTGACATCAAAGGTTATGTGCCACCACGCCCAGCTAGTAAGCATGTTTTAAAAGGCATTTTCCTGCTATAACCTGGAAGTGATCTCTGGCTACAAGCTCAGCAGAACCCAGTGGCTGGCTCAGAGGATCACTGCTCACACTTGCTTAGGCCTGCCCCAACCCTCTCTGAGCTCTGTGAATTTATGTGGTTAACAAAGGAAAAACAACTTCCTGAGCTGCCTGTTTTTGATAACCCCCCAACACAACTCCATGTCTAACCCTGCCCCCAAACCAAACCAAAACCAAAACACCTCCCTCCAAAAGAACCCAAGTCTGGGTTGGTTTCAAAGATAAATCCGTACTCCTACATTACTACCCTCCAGCTTGTGCATCCCTGCAGGTGTTAAGTGCAGCTTAATAGGCCCCTCTGCTTCTCCTCAAGAAAGAGATCTAGAATATAAATGGGACAGGAGGCTGTTGGGAAGCCTGATGGTCAATTTGGAATATTCCAGATAGGCAGAAATGAAGCCAGTCCTGCACTTAAAGAAGGAAATACTTCTGAGTACTGATAGTTCTATGGATTAGCATAAGGAACTTGTCACCTCCACTCAACCTCTAGTAACACTAACACTAAATGGTAATAATTACAGAAGCAGCTAGTATCTGTGGAACATTTCTTGGTGCCGGGCTCCATGCTGTATCCACAATGGTTTATTTTCTCATTTACCCCTCACCTTTGCCTTGGAGGATAGCACATATTCTGCAGTTAGAGATGAAAGCACAGGGCTGGTGAGATGGCTGTCAGTAAAGTGTTTGACATGCAAGCACAAGAATCTGAGTTCGAATCCCCAACACCCATGGACTTGGCTGCACACATTGCAGATGATGAGGGGGATCCCCCAGAACTCACTGGCTTGTCAAGCCAACCAGTGATTAATCACTGGGTTCAATGACAGACCCTGTCTCAAAAAGAGGGGCTGGAGAGAGCGATATAACTCCAGGTACAGGGCATGATGCCCTCTTCGGGCCTCCTTGTGCACTAGACATGCATGTGGTGCACATATATACACGTAGACAAGTATTCATACACATCAAAATAAATTTTAAAAGGTGGAAAGCCATTGAAGA